AAAAAAAAAGGGCAAAAAAAAAAAGCCAATCTGCTCAATCCTCTGCCTGCAGGCAGACTCTAACGGAAACCACATATGCTTTGCCTCTCCCTATAAGAAATCTTCATTGGGGCATTAAAATACTTAAAAGGATTAGTCGTTAAATACTTGTACATTTGGTTTAATTCACTAGAAACACTATGTCACAGGGTTACATCAGAAAGCTGGAGAGTTTTAATCTCGCTTGCAGTATTTACCTAGATGTTTTATTCCTTCTGCTGCTTGTTACAGGGATAATATTAATATCCTACTTGTCCAGAGGGAGGAAGTTAAAAAAAAAGAAAAAGAAAAAAAAAAAAAAGAAAAAGAGCTGGCTGCTGTCTGATGGTATAAAAATATCAAAGGGACTTTTGAGGTAAAATGAAACAAAACAAAACAGCATGGATTGGAGTGTGGCATTCCTTCCCACAGCCTGTTGCTTATTCCTGATGATGATGATGGAGAGGTAAGAAGCTGTTCTCTTAGGAAAACAGAATAACTTAGCAGATCACACAGGTCTTGGGACATGGGAGATGGTGGCTTTGTTTAAAGCCATCTCCTTTTTTAGCCTCAGTTTCTCTATATGACAGGTGCGCAGCTCCTTTGTAATTCCTCTTTCAGGGCAGTAGCTAAAAATACACTATTTTTGGCGAGGGTCCAGAAGAAGTTGTCTTCAACTAAGTGAAGAAACAGGGGCCATAAATCTAATGAAGGCAGGTACAGAAATGCCTTACTGTGAATTCCTTAGTGGGGAGGGAAATTGCTGTGTAGCAGGACATCACTGGGTGAGACTTGGCTCTTTTTGTGACTAATGAGAGAGGATGGACTGTTAGAGCCTAAAGCTTTTCTTAAGTTGTAGAGGTTTCTGCACCTAGTCCTGACATTCCTTCGATGGCCTTACTGTAGCTGTATCCATTCAAAAAGGTCTGGAGTAATGACATATCAGTGAAATTCTTTGCTTTTCAAATCAAGTTACTTTATTCATGTTTTAGGCTGTTTGGGTGAAAAATGAGCTAAGGGTGAAATTCTGGTCCCATTTAAGTGAATGAGTGCATTGCCACAGATTTCCATTAATTTCATAAGGAAAAATTGAGTGAACCGATATACATATATTATCTCCAAGAAAGAAGCCTTGGATCTTTCATAGAAAGGGAAGAAGTGATTAAGACAGGACAAATTCCGTCATCAAGTTCTTTGTTTGCTCTGTGGCGTCTGAACAGCAGAATGACCCATAGCCAACTATTTTCATTGTATCGATGGAGTTCACACTAGTAAAAGTAGTCTCATTGGGAGTTCTTCTTTGCCTTCAACAATGCACAGTGTAATCTCATGATAGTTCCTCTTGGCCACCATCCTGAGTCAGGCAACCTCCAGAAATCGTAACACAGATTGCCCTGTCAAAAAACGTGATAAAAATACATTGTGACTGGTTTTGTGTAGAGATACAGAAGAAAAATTATCATGCACACTCCCCATCTCCAAAGTGTACACACATCTGACAATAATCTGGAATATAATTTCAGTGCTGAGATTTAATCTCAGATTTTATCCATCTGAGCTAAACAATACATTGTTCTACAATGGTGAGGTATGGGAGGGTGAGGCCTGGGTGAGACTCGTCAAATTAGGCACCCAGATGTTTTGCATTCAGAAAAGAACATCCTATTCTAGGATTGCCCAGTCATTCTTCCTGTGAACTATGGAAGAGGAGCATTCCTGGGAATTGACCAGAAGACTTTCTGAATGCCTGAATGATGTAAGAAATAAAGAATACCATTCACTACAGAGTGACTCAGGAGACATTTTTTTTTTGCCTCTTATAATTTATTGCTTTTATTTATTGATTTATTTGTGGAATCCCTCCCTCTGGTTTAGGGTGTTTTGTACCTCCTAGACCTCTCAACCTAATTTAATTTTTGGGGGCGTCTGAATATCACCCTGCCCTTCACATAAACGGTATCTTTTTTTTTTTTTTTTTGAGAGGCTTTGTGCCTTATTGTGCTTTTTTCCCCCTCAAAAGCAGAGAATGGTTTCTTGTATTCAAAGCATAAACACAGCTGCCCATGAGACTGCTTGGATGAGGACTAGATAAGAGACTTACATTAGGGCAGAAATTCGGGTCACATCATATCAAACTGAAAGCATCAGGCCAAAGATAGGCTTGGCTAATAATATTTATACATGATCATTTTAAATGTGAAAAGTCCTCCTGCCATGAAAGAAATCTCTTTTCAGTCTCAAGTCAGTGCAGGTATTTTCAATACGGTTATATCACTGCTTGCTAAAATGCAATGCATTTGCATCTTCTTTGCATTATTTATTGTTATCCTGCAGGCTGGATTGTCACACTAATCTTGATTTATGTCACTGAATTTTATCAGCTTCTGCTGGTTTATATTTTCAAGTGGTGCTCCTGGACTTTAGGAAGAGAAATGTCAGTGCAAGTCTTTTACACCTGTTACACAGCATAGGTGGAAGCTGCTTGTTGTCAAAGTCATGCAGAAAAATGTCTC